GTAGAAGTGAGCACATACTGTAAGGCTGTTATCTTAATTTAAAAGGAAATAGGTGTTTAAGGAATACCTCAAATTTAAAAAGACATAGCCGTTTAGCAGTGAACAAGGGCTGGATGTAAACATGCTTTTGTTGTAGGTATTTGGTACATTAAGTGGAATTTGACCTGTGACAGTTAAATCCTGTCCTTTTGTTGTGTGATGGAAAATGTTGCTTAGTAACTTGTTTTTTTTTTTTTTTTTCCACAGTGACACTTTAGCATTCCAGAGGATTTAGAAGTATGGGTTTTACTCATGTGACTTTCTTGAAATAACTAGGTTCTAACCAAAGAAACATAATCACCTATTGATACAGATATGTGTATGAGTTGTAGAGCAATATTAAAGTGGAATTGAAGCAAATATACATATTTATCATGTGGGATATTCATTTTTTTTTAGCTTGAGATGCAATTCTGTAATGTAGATCTTTCATTCTGAAAGCATTTGAGCTTCCTATTTAGAATTTGTGACTGCTTAAAATTTAGGCCGTAATACAACTGTAGGGGCCATCATTAGGGACAAGGATAGCAACATTGGATGCTTCTTATAAAAGAAATTTTATTCAGGACCAGCAATCATGATACTTATAGGTCAGATGGCTTTGAAGTTAGGCTCATTTTAGCTGTTCTGGTCTGATGATAATTTGAACACCACTCTTCACACTGTTTACACGTGGGTATGAACACGATTTAGGCTCATCACACATGCATGCACAAAAGCCTGTATTTTTAGAAGTTTGTAGATTGAGAAATGCCTAGTTATAATCAGCAGAACATTTAAGTTTCTATTTCTTATCTCAGCTGGTTTATTTAATTAATGAGTGTAACCTTAACAGATGTTGATTCTTTTATTTTTACTGTGCTGGAAATTATACTCAGGGCCTTGTACATGCTCAGCAAACTATAGCCTTAACCCTTAAAAATTTTTTTTGTTTATTTGTTCATTTTCCCACAGTGTCTCTTGAAGTTTCCCAGGCTGGCTTCCTACCAGCAGTCCTCTTGTCTTGGTCTTTCCAGTAGCTGGGATTACAAGCATGTTCGATTACATCTGTCTTAGTTTATTAAATGGTGGTTTCAGCCTAACAACACAAACTTATTTTGTAAAGGAAATATTGCAAAGTGTATTTTGCTTGCTTTCATTCTCTCATCTACTACTACTTTCACTTCCCTCCAGCCTTACTAATTCTGTTTTTACCCCTGAACTGAATCCCTGAGACTTATAGTAGAGGCTGTGGATGGGAAATCTGAAGCAAGGTTAATAGTCTAAGTCAGTGGATAATCATAGGAAGGACCAGGTCTGGGATCTCATTGTGAGCACAATGGAATGCTGGCATCCATCAGACTGGACAGCCAGAGTTGGTAAGTGGGTGGAACTAGGCAGTCAGCAGAAGTCAGGGAAACAGGAACATTGGAGTTTTATGAAAGTGATGTGAGAATAGGGCACAAGATAAGGAAGAGTCCAGGTCACAGCAGGAATCAGTCAGCAGAAACCTACAGGACCCTGACACCATTTGCTTGCAGAGTTGGGACATCAGGGTAGCAGCTCTTTGGGACCTTGGCGAAGTTCTGCTTAGCCAAGAGCTGCTTAGGCTTTCCCTGCCAGGGCAGGAGCCAGTCTCAGGGTGTTGGCCCCGGAACCCATTTGAAAAGCGGGTCATGGCTGTGCCTGCCTGGAAGGGAAAGGCTGTGAGCCTTGGAGGATCCTGACACCTAAGGAATGAGGTTCAGGATATGTGGCAACAGGAATGATCAGAACTGTGCTGAACGTTGTGTGCTTCTTGACTCACGGGCCTTGTCTGTAACACACCCATCTTCCAGGTAGTGAAACCACCAGACCAAGGCCGGGACTCAGTGTAGGGCCTTGTGGGTTCTCACAACTGTTCTCATGTTTCTCTTCCCATTAACCCAAAGGGCAGGATAAAGGAGCTGTGACAAGGAGGTTTAAGTTGCTGCTGCTTGAAAGCTGTTCGATTATGTATAAAATTTTAAGATTTCTGATAGAAGAGTTGTAGAGTGCTTACCTAGCATGCATAAGGCCCTGGGTTCCATCCCCAGCTCTGCAAAAATACATAAGTAAAAAGATTTCTCATAACAAAAAAGTAGTTCTGTTTGCAAAGAAATGTTTCAGAGTAAGTAATATAAATGTAGGTTAATTTATGAGAAAAATGTGGTTTTTGGTCATGTAAATAAAGTTTTGCTGTGTATAATACATTAGTTATGTAATCAATACTTGCTTGCCCATATGTAGTATAAATATATATGCATATTTATAAATTTATATTGTTCAGGAATTTCTGAGAATTAGGAGATTTTTCAGTAATTATTATTATTATTATTATTTTTTTGGTACCGGGGATCAAACTCGGGACCTTGTGCTTGCAAGGGAGGCGCCGGAACCACTGAGCTAAATCCCCAGCCCCCTCAGTGCTTATTTTTAACTTCAGTGTTTTGATCCTTTTAAAAAACATTACTACAAAATTACTTTGTCTACTTTGTGTTACAAAATTAGAGCGATTTATTGGAAAGATAATTAAACTTAAAATCTCATATCTTTTCAGATCCTTTTTTTTTTTGTACCGGGGATCGAACTTGGGACCTTGGGACCTTGCGCTTACGAGGCAGGTGCCAGAACTGCTGAGCTAAATCCCCGGCCTCAGATCCTTTTCTAATCATGTATCTATTTGGCAATATACTTGCTTTTTATTTTAAATTATTTCACTTGTATATTTGCCTGAAATGATATGACTCACTTATACAACAATAATTGTATTATATGGTAATGTAATTATAATTTTATTATTCTTGACCATTTAGGTTAATTTTTAATTATTGGAAAATATCATTAATTTTTAACATTATTTTTGGGTTGTTTACTTGGACATTTTTCCCAAAGTCAGATTAACAAGTCAAAGGGCAGGAACAGTTGCACAACTTCTGTTACATATTGCTAGGTAGCTTTTCAGAAAGACTGAAGTAATTTACCATGCCACTATTAATCTATAAGGCACAATTCCAGCATTAGACAGTTTAGACAAATCTGAACACACAGAGTATAGTTATATTTTTGCCTGAAGGACTAGCCGTAAAGATACTGTAGCTCTCATAAGTAAACTCAATATGTGGACTTTGAAATTATAGAACTGATAAAGCACACTGCACATTTATCCCTCAGAATGTGGACCCTTGATGTTAGGAACTTCTGGGGCTTCAGAGTACACTGTGTTGAGGTGGAGGTCCCTCTTGGACCAACTTTGTTCTGTGATCCTACTCAATGAGCTATTGCAAGGCCCAAACCAATAGGGAAGGCAGAGAGCCAAGTCTGCTGCCATTGAGGTTATCAGGCCTACTAGGTAGAGATGTAAGATACTAGCCCATCTGCAGCAGCCATATGACAAAGAAGAGGATGTCTAGTGGTTGTGCCGTGGTCACGAGTCATTGGGCCATGTACCCCTTCATTGATGCCCATCAAAGGCCTTTGTTACTAAAAAGTGTCAGACCTAGAGTTTGGGAGTAACTTTTTCCTTTGTGACACAGCATTATCAGTTTTATAATGGAAATTGATAGAGATTATAGATTCTGTGGAAATCTATTCATTTTGTCTTTCCTGTTCTATAAAGATTCCTTTTTTCTGCTTTGACAGAAGAGAAACTGAGATTTTTCCCTGAGAAATAAATTGCCCTCATTGCTCATGCGTGCTGATACAGCATTGTATATTTTCTGGCTTCCCCAGTGACTTGCAGAAATTCTATAACCTAAGTAAAAGACGTGTAAGAGCATGTCATAGAACCAGGCCAGGAGAGTAATGCAAAAGACACATATTACATGCGATTCAGAAAGGCAAAAAGGAACAAGGATAAAGTCATAAATCAAATGTTTGGTTGCTTAAAATTATTATAGGTGTGCATTTTCAAGGGAGTAATTTGAATAGAAATGATTACAAAAGAAAATCATCCAAATGCCAACAATGATAAGGGAGAGAAGTAGACCAGGGCTGTAACATGACCTGTTTAGGAATTTTTTTTTTACTGTTAATTGATTTGTTTTTGTAGTAAAATATATGTAACAAAATATACCATGTTAACTTTTGAAGTATATATTTCAGTAGCATTAATTACGTTCATAATTGTCAGAACTTTTTCATCACTCCAAACTTTAGGGATTTATTTTATAATTGGTTATCTCAGCATTTTTTCAGCCTAAAGAAAATACAGCATCCAAACCCTTCATTTCTGAGTTTCTGTGTGTGCCGTGTGTTCAGCTTGATTCGGCTCTTGTTCACCACTCTCCTGTCACCCTCTTCCTGTTGCTGCATGCTTGGTTGAGGCCATGCCATCCAAGCAGGGGAGGGAGCAGTGCTGTATCCTCAAGGTCACAGAAGTGACTGTGCTTCTCTGCTGAACTCTCTGAAGCAAGTCCATTTGTATGAGACGACAGGTAGTCAGGTTTCTTTTACTAGTTTAATGTATTTTAAAATTTAAAAGCAACACATTTTTGACAGTGTAGAAAAAAATTTAAGGACTTGTCATTCCTTTGAACACTTTTTTGTTTTTGTATTTCCTTTTACTTGTTTTTACCTATGTTTTTAACATATTTTATAATTATCGATCTAACATAAAGAGCTTACTTTTAAAAACATCTAACCAGCAGTTAGAATTTTTCATGTTGCTCAATAGTCTTATTAGTAGTCCATAGACTTTGTGAAGCTTAATTTACATAGCCATGTTATTTTCTTTGATGCGTAGGCTGCCAAAATTTGTAAGTATTATAAATAAGTATCTTCGAACATTTTCTAAGTTTAACCCTTTTGTTTTGTGAGAGAGAGAAACAGAGAGATGGAGAGAATGCTTACATATTTATTAAGAAGTGGGCAATAGCGCCTGTGTTTTTGGTGATGACAGAGGTGTGGTGTGTTTTTGTGATTATGATAATCAGATTGGTGATGAGTGTTTAATTTGGTTACAGGTTATAAAAATCTTAGAGAAGCATGATCCCTTGAAGAACTCCCAGGCAAAGTATGGGTCCATCCCTCCAGATGAGGCCAGCGCTGTGCAGAACTATGTAGAACACATGCTTTTCTTGCTAATTGAAGAGCAAGCCAAGGATGCTGCAATGGGGCCAATTTTGGAATTTGTGGTCTCTGAGAACATAATGGAGAAGCTCTTCCTTTGGAGTTTGAGACGGGAGTTTACTGATGAGACTAAAATTGAGCAGCTGAAGATGTATGAGATGTTGGTCACCCAATCACACCAGCCTCTGCTGCATCATAAGCCCATTCTGAAGCCTCTGATGATGTTGCTTAGCTCTTGTTCAGGAACAACCACTGCAGCTGTGGAGGGGAAGTTGGTTGTCCTCCTAAATCAGCTGTGTTCCATCCTTGCCAAAGACCCATCCATTCTGGAACTCTTCTTCCACACTAGTGAGGACCAAGGGGCTGCCAACTTCCTTATCTTCTCCCTCTTGATTCCCTTCATTCATCGTGAAGGGACAGTTGGCCAGCAAGCTCGGGATGCTTTGCTGTTTATCATGTCTCTGTCAGCTGAGAACAGCATGGTGGCCCATCACATCGTGGAGAATACCTATTTTTGTCCAGTAAGTCCTACCCTTTCTCATTTTCTCTGGTGGTGATAAATCCTTTTTATTTCTTTTACTCCAGTTTTATCTTTTATGGGAAGATCTTTGAAGGATATCTTTGCAGGAAGTTGGGAGTCTAAACTGAGATGTTATTTAGCTGAGCAGTGTCAGCTCAAAGTAAGCCAACAGATGAAGCTAGATGTGCCGCCTTTCTTGGTTCATTTTTCTTGGGTTGGGAACAATTGTAGTTTTTTTCTTAGACTAAATCCTGAACGATTGGTAAAACTTACACTTTCTAAGTTCTAAGATTTTTTTAGATTCATTTTGCTCCATTGAATAAAAGGATGTGGTAAGACCCCTCACAACTGGGTTCACAAATTAATTTGTTTCTCAGAAAGATAATGGCCATTAGTTATAGATTGGAAGCATTGATTTTATTATGAAGAATACATACTTGCAATTTCATGTAAAAAGAAATATCCTGTATAGTTTCTTAATACGTACATGGTATAGTGAGAAATAAAGTGCAAAGTTCTTTGCAGAAATTCTAGTAGCCCAAGCCAAATCAGTTCCAGAAAAGAATGGGGACAATCTGGGACTCATAGGAGGTCTTAGGGCCCTCCTTATTTTTTGGTGTTAGTGCCTTCTTTGGAACAGATTTATTGATTAATGTCTTTTTCTGGTTGGGTAACAGCTATCACTGCTTTCCCAGCTCAATGAATATTTCCACTTTAGTTCTAGTCTATTCTCTTTGCAGTCTTTATAAACAGTATTGCCTCAAGTATGTGGAACAGTGTATGAGATCCTTTAGTTTTGTTGAAACAGGCCAGGCAAATTGATTAGATTAGATAGATTAGATTCATTTTAATTAATGCTGTTTGGTACACTCCCTAGAAGGCACTTAGAAATGTGTGTGGCGTATGTTTGGTTGTTAGTCATAGGGGCATGAGGTGGTGGGGAGGTGGTTCAACTAACAGTTAGTGTGCAGGGTCCACAGCAGCACCAAATGCTGGGGGGGTACGGAATAATGAGAACTCTCATTTATTGCTGGTGGAAATGCAAAATAGTGCAGCCACATTAGAAGACAGTTTGGTAGTTTTGTACAAAACTAAACATACTCTTAGCATATGATCTATCTGTTATATTCCTTGGTATTTAGCCAGGGGAGTAAAAACATGTCCACACAAAAACCTGCACTCGCATGTTTATAGCAGCTGTATTAATAAATGCCTAAACTTAGCAACCAAAATGTCCTTCAGTGGATGAATAAAAACTAGTACTGTATATCCAGACAAGGGATATTTTTCAGGTAAAAAGAAATGATCTATTAAACCATGAAAATACATGGAGGAACCTTAAGTGTGTATTACTAAGTGAAAGAAGCCCATCTGCCAAAGCTACAAGTACAACTCTGTAACATTCTGGAAAAAACAAAACCATGGCAAGCATAGCACATTTTTTTTTCCAAACTGGGACAGGGAGGGAGATGAATAGGTGAAGCACAGAGGGCTTTAGGTAGGGCAGGGAAAATGCTCTGTAGGGTAATGTAATGGTGGATGCACATCATTATCCATTCGTCCAAACTCAGAATGTGTGGCTCTGAAAGTGAGCCCTGGTTTGAACCATGGACTTTGGGTGATGAAGATGTGTTAATATACTTGTAGGTTCACCAGTGGTTAAAAAAACCCAAAGAAGTACCACTCTGGCAGGGGAACGTGGTAATGAGAGAGGCTGTGCATAGCAGGGATGAGGGTACATGGGATGTCTCTGTGCCTTTCTTTCAACTTTATTGTAAACCTTAAACTACTCCACAACAGTTAAGCCCTAAGAAAAGGGCAGTTTTGTGAGGGTACTATATAAGGTTTGTTTTTTGGCTTATTTGAATTGTTCTGTGTAGTTTTTTTGTAAAGGAGAGCAGGCACTGTAATAGATCATGAAAATATTAAGGTGATTTACTTGATCAGTATGCAAAAGCCAGTTTAAAAAGATAACATTTACAAAAGTGACACAATCATAAATTCTCTCAAAATCTAATATTTGAAAGCCTTTTGCAGAGAAAATTGTTATTGTTGAAGGGCATAAAAATCTAAGTAAATAGAAAACTCTGTAGTTTGTAGATCACATATAGCTGGAACATTCCTGCAAAATCAATTTGTAAAGTTAGTGCAATTTATGTTTTATAACTTTTTATTGGGATAATACTAAAAATGAATGTTATATATTGATCACTTAGATTCAGAAGTATCAATATTTTGGCATTCATTGGTCTGTTTTTCATCTGTACTTTTTGTTTTTGCTGTACTACTTGAAATTAAGTTGTAGACATCAAATGCTTTAGTGTATATCTCCTGCAAATGACATTCTCATATATAAGCTCAATACCATTATTGTACCTAAGAAAATTATACAGTAATGTCTTAATTAATTCAGCATTCAAAGTGAATAAATCATGTATATTAGCATGTAACTACATCTGCATGTATGAAGATGAATAAACTTAACATATTGAAAAAATGAGTAAATAGCTAAAGGTTACATAATTATGTTAGTATTTATGTAAGATTTACATAAAGTTTTAGAACACAAAGTTTTAGTGCCTACTTTTTTGGATATTTACATTTACACCATCAAAGTAGTAAAAAAGCACAGGAATAATTTGTACTAAGTTTAAGACTATAGTTTTTTTTGGAGATGAAGGAAAGGAATGGTAATGAGAATGCAGTAGCATTTAGTTCTACTTGTCATGTTTTATTATACTTTTGAGCTGGGGCTTGAACTAAGGTCTTCTCATGTGCTAAGCATGTGCTCTACTAGTAGGCGAGTTACACCCCAGCCTATCATGTTTTACTTCTGCAGATTTACAGATTATTCTGAATAAATTATGGAAAAATATTAAAGTCTGTGATGTCTTGGCAATAGGTTTCAGTTTTACTATGTTTGTATTTTTTGTAATATTTCATAATTTAAAAATTTAAATGTGTCAGGACAAGAATGGAGCATATTTTTAATGTTTAGATTTGTACTAACTGTTATAAGCAGAATTTCACTAATTGTTGCTTTTATAAAAACATACTTTAAAACATTACATTGTTCATTAGAATCGGAAGGAAAACAACATCTTCAGCTGACCTTCTTTGCTAGAGTGGGAGACAAGCTACGTTGTGTTAAGTTGCCCCTCAGGATAGATTCTATAATCTCATTTGTACCAATTTTTCTATAATTACATCTGATAGACAACATAATTTTTAAAAAGGCCCATTTATTTTGAAGATAAAAGCATACCATTCAGCTAAGGGCCACAATTGACAAAAAGCTTTCTGTAATTAGTATTGTTGTCAGTGTGTTAGCATTAGGCTGTTGGAAGAGTAATGAGTCTTTCAGGAAATTGAACCGTTTTGGAAACTTTTGTCATGAGAGCTGATGGGAAGAGCCTGTTGGTTCTGCTGCTTCTTATCTCAAGATGTGCTTTCCCAAGAAAAGAAGGAAAATAAGGATACTCTAGAGAACAGTTTGGTGCCAACAAATAGTTAGGGACTAAATGACCCTATCACTGTTTTTGATTTTTTAAAACTAATATTGATGGTTAAACTCATGTCATTTGTTATGTTGGCAAATGTAGAAAACAGCCTGGTATACATAAATAAAGAAATGTAAATTGAAGTAAGTGACCTTTAGGTATACAGCTGCAGGTGGGAAGTTATTAGCCCATACCCAAAATTTATGAGGCTTTTTACTTTGACAAGTTGGATCAAATGGTCTCCACCAGGTGTTTTGATGCTAGCTTCAGACTAAAGCCATCTGCTAAAAACTTTATTTTTGGTAAAATTAACTGGTTACCATTAGATGTTTAAAGTTAAAGATCAATGTTACTTGTTTGGTGCTCTGCATGACATCTTTCTTTTCTCCATTGGAAACAGTATTTGTAAACTATTACCCTAATTTAGCTGCACACATTGTTTTCTTTAATCCTTGCAACAACTCAGTTAAGAAACTGAAGTTTAGGGAGCTTTAAAAACGGTCAGTGGAGAAGCTGAATTGAAACAGACTGATATGAAAACCCGTGGTCTCAGCTCTGAGGGAAGTTCTTTGCTTTTTATCTGTTGTCATCCATTGTGGTTTTAATATAACATTTAGTTTCTTTTAAGGATGTTCTTAGAAAATAAATAAATATTAAGTTAATACTTACTGTGTTAGAATATGATGTTTTACCTTTTTTGTGGTTTGAATCAATAAGAGGCTAAAATCATGGTGTTAGCATTTTAGTTATAATTTGCTATTAAATATAAATACTTAATTTTGTATAATTTCATTTTTAAGTTAAAAAATCTGCATGTAAGTGTAGTAGATTGTGCTATTAAGCCCTCAAGCCTGGAAAAAAGATACCTACAAACTAACTGGTTGTGTCTCCTGTTTTCCTGTTCCTGACCCCATAGCCCTCTCTGGAATTCTGGACTCCTTTGTCTTTCTTAACGTCTCTTCCTTTGTGAGTGCTCTTCTGCACACCACCAGCTCTGAATCATTCCCTGTTCTCACACCAGCACCAACCTGTGCCTGGGCCCCACACTGTGTTCTAGAAATGTGTCATCTGCGTGAACGAATCTGAGCTCTGACCAGAGCCTCAGAGGGAGGATATAAATAGTAAAGATTGGGAATCTTGTTCCTAAGACTATGTGAGACTATTCTGCAGAATATTTTCTCCCATGTTTCTTTGCCATGCTGAGGCAGATAGCAGAGAGGTTGCCTCGCCCACTCTGTAGTGGCAAGAGCTCAGCGGAACTCCCCAGCCAGCGTCATGTTGAAGGGTGCCTCCTTCTGGACAGGCAGCATCCTTCTGTCTGGGCAGGCTTCTCCCCTTTCATATCTCAGCCATGCCATTTTCAGAATAGTCATTGAAAAAGTGAGTATTAGGTATGTGTTATTTTTAATTACTGTCCCTGATGTATGTAATTTGAAAATTAATGTTGCTGTAATTATATTGATATACTGAATAGTTATTCCCAGCTTTTTAGTCAGACAAATTAAGCCTGTCTTTATGAATTCATCTTCAGAGCTTCAAAGTGGTTAAGAAACCAGGCGTATGCAGAATGAAAGCCTTTGTTCTGTGGTTAATTTAGCGTGAGTTAGCAAATGTAATTGATTTTTTAAAAATGTGGCATTGAGATTAGATTTCTCTTCAAGGAGAACTATTGGACTCTGTTCTCTTTTGCCAGAAGTTTCTAATTTATAATAGGCAACTCATTTGGGTCACATTCAAAATTGGAATTGAAGTGCCTTGTTTGGGTATTTGACAAGGAGTTCAGTACTTTAAGTAGGGGACACTTTCCTTTGGGACCACAGATGCTCTGATTTTGAAAAAGAGAAAAAGGTATGATGTTACTTACTGTTGTATTTCCCATACACAACACAGTGCCTGGTTTGAGGTTAAATTCTCAGTATTCTTAATGAGTGAGTGAACATATACTTGAATAAAGGTTACTAGGAAACAGAACAGAGAAATGTTTATCATCTCTTGATTTCTCCAGGATTGGAATATTCATCCATTTCTCTCACTGCAGAGGGGGCTCCTGTGCTCCTACCCTTCTGCGTCCCTCCCATGGCGCTGACCCTTCTCTGTATGTGCTGACACCTCAGGCCTGTCCTCCTGTGGTGGACTTGGATGTGTCACTCTGAGGAAGGACTGTTAGTGTCTGAAACTCGGTATACATGATTCAACAGTCTTCCATCTCTCCAGTGTGGACTGAAGTGAGCAAGTCAGATCAGGGGAGACAGAGAAGATGGACAGTAAACCCATAAATGCCTGAGTGACAACTGCCACACAGGAGGCTACAGAGAGGGCTGAGGGGACAGGACAGAGGGAAAGGAGGGGGAACAATACGTCTCTAGAAAAGTCTTTTCCAGAACACACTGAACCTTGTTCTATTGTCTATTTCTACTGTCAGGTTCTGTGGGTTACTTTATCAAACCTTACCTGTTTAACTCTCCCTTTCCTTCTCTGTTGTTTGTGTGGCTTCATGCACCATCTACCTATGGATGACTTCAGATGATCACCTCCAGCCCAGAGACTGTTCCAAGAATCAGACCCACATAGCTCTCTATTGGGCTCTCCATTTGGATGGCCCACAAGTTCTTTATCATGGCCTATAAAACTCTACAGGCTCTAGCTCTTATTTACCTTGCTGCCCTTTCCACCTATAATTTTTGTGTGTGTGTGTGGTACCTTGAGGCAGGCGGTAGAACCACTGAGCTAAATCCCCTGCCCTCCACCTATAATTTTTGCAGGTACTGTGCTTCTCTAAATCCTAGAGGATACTGTTTTTTCTTTCTCCTTTGAGCTTTTGTACATGCTGTTTGCTCTGCTTGGAATAATCTTCTTTCCCCTACTCTTTCTGGATGACTCTTGTTTGTTCTTCAGCAACTTGGACATGACTTCTGAGAGCATTTCCTGCTACTACCCCCACCATGAAATCTGATTTAAGAGTCTTTTGTATAAGAGCCACAGCACTGAATATTTCCTGTTGCATGTTCTGAGTCCCTCCCTCCCTCCTAGGGGCTTTGTGCTGAGCTGTATCCCTGGCCCTTTTATTATTTTGAAACAGTGTCTAAGCTGAGTCAATAAGTTGTCCAGACTGGGCTCAAACTTTGTTATCCTCCTCCCTTATCCTCCCAGACTGCTGGGATTACAGGTGTGAGCCACCATGCACAACTTGTTCTGACCATTTCTAACACTGTTATAGTTGCCTGCTTATCTCTCATTAGATTGTAAAAACAGTAAGAATGCCCCTATTTCTTTTCTAGGCCTAACGAAGTATATTTTCTTGGATGTTTCCATCCCATTTGAGTTCATGACAACCTGTGCCTTTTGTAGCTGACTTCCTTGTGTCCAGTCTATGCCATTTCTGTCCACTCCAGGTGCATCTGACAAGTCAGGATGTCTAAGGTGCTGCTTAGCATCACTTCCCAGTCAGAAGGCCTTCAGTCCTGTGGATTTTCCTATTTTCCCTTGTCTTAAACTCTGTGAGATAAAATCAACGAGTGCTTGGCATTGTGTTCCTTTTCTGCATTTCTCTCTTTGTTAAGGCCATCATCATTTTTTTAATGACCAAATTGGATAACTTCACAATTTTGAATTCTCATTCATTCTCACTTATCAAGCCCAAATAATTGTAATTTTAGGGTCAGGGAGGGAGTTTTGAATTAATTCCACATGTCGTAGTTAGAGTACCCTCACATCTACCTCACAGGTGGGGCTCAAATTTATTTTCTCCTGTTTTTCCCCCTGCCAGTGCATCAGCACAGACTCACTTTAGCTTTGTTTGAACTCTTGTCATCACATTGAACTGACCCCTTCCTCTTTCTTTTTGTTATGATTTGTGAAGATCAGGTGAGATAATGTACGGAGAACTGTTTAAACTGTAAACATGTGTCAGTGATGACCTTAAACATTGAAGGAATCCTAAGGAACCTTTTTCACAGAGCTAGTCATGCTTCTTACCTGTCCTAGATCACCTCAGCCTGGGGCTTCCTCCTGTATACACAGGTATTTTCACTGAAATACTTCTATGTATTTACACTCATTGAATCGTATTGTATAATGAGTTTGTCCCCATCATGAATGTCTAGGGGAAGGACAGGAATCATGTTTTTTTCATCCTTGGTTTACCTTTTTCACCTCCCTAGTCCCAGCCCAGTGTGGTGCCTGGCACACTGTTGATGAGCAGCCCCTGCCAACCACATGTGTAGGAGCTAAGACTGCTATTCTGTCTGCTTGAGTGGTCCTTTCCACCTGTTGAATCCTTCCTAGCTAACTGTTCCTCTAATACCTTTAGTACCTTGTTGCTCAAAATTCAGTCTTTGGTCTAATTCTGTGAGTACTCCTGTGAGCTGTTAATTGCAGGTTACAAATCTGAGAAAAGACTATTACAGTTTTATTCTGAACACAGGTACTGGCAACTGGTCTCAGTGGGCTGTACTCCTCCCTCCCCACAAAGCTGGAAGAGAAAGGTGAGGAGTGGCACTGCCTCCTGAAGGATGACTGGCTCCTGCTTCCCCCGCTGGTGCAGTTCATGAACTCCCTGGAGTTCTGCAATGCGGTCATTCAGGTACGGAGCACAGGGCACCATCCCTTGCCTGGTCCTGTTCGGAGCCCAGGCCTCACCCAGGATGAGTGTTTATACTCATTCCCTTTAATCTTAATAAATGTATGTAGAGTATTGATGCTTTACTTTAAGCCCACCGAATGTCCTTGAATGAGAGAAAACATTAGTTTGTAGGTTCCTGGAAAGTTTGAACTGAGAAAAAAAATAGATTATCTTGTCTTTAGAAAGTGTTAATTCTGTTTTGATTATCCACTTAACTATCAAAAGTAAGTTCACTGCCTAACTCATTAAATAGATATTTTTAGGCTTTTAAGTACTCCAAATTATAACACTTTTGCTTCAAGGTCTTCTTGGGAGTCTACAAAGGAAACACTTTATTTTGCTTAATGGTGCATACCACGTAAAGAATATTGTTATCCCAATTGAATGTAGAAGTTAACCGTCTTCTTAGCAACACAAATTAAATTTGCCTTGAAATTGGTCTGTGTTTTAAGGGAATAAAAACAGCCACTGAACTCTTGTATATTTGGCTTTTTGGTTAGATTCTCACCTTCAGGTTTCTTGGTACTGTTTTCAATAAAAATCAGATTTTATATATAAAGATTGACTACATTTTCATCAAAAATGTTTTATTTCTGTATACCATTATTGGATTTATTAAGAAATTGGGTATTTTATGGCAGTTGTTGGGTAAAAAAACATTAGTTATAATCTACTTATCTACCAAATAAAGAAATAGCTTCTGGAAGAAAACACAAGTAAATTACTTTAGTTTCCATCTCATTTTTATTGCTGCATCTCAGGAGATTTTATTTATATATAAAATAAATGGATTACGGTTTAAATTATTTTTTCCTTCAATATTACAGTCTATCAACATTTTCTTGTAGAAGTGTGTGGAAATAAAAACGATGGAACTACTGTTAGTTCTTCTCCAAATGTACAGACAGGGAGATTATCAGTAATTTCAACGACCAGCCTCATTTCTTTAGGAATTATTTTTTACTTTGTTGTTTACTTCTATATTCTTTTTTTTTTTTTATACTGGGATCAAACTTGGGTCCTTGTGCTTGCACAGCAGGCGGCGAAACCACTGAGCTAAATCCCCGGCCCTACCTCTGTGTTCTTATTCTCTCTTTCTGTGACACTCTCTCTCTCTCTCTCTCTCTCTCTCTCTCTCTCTCTCTCTCTCTGTCTCTCTTCTCTCTCACAGAAGTAAACTAATGGACCTCGTAAAGAATAAGAAATTATATATTTCATAGTATATTTGAGTTGAAGCTACATACTTTTATGAACTTTTGTTTAGGGGTACTACTAGAATGATGACTTTAAAAAGATAGTACGAAAGAGTTACTCATGCTAAGTATATTTTAAAACTCAAGTATAACAAGTATTGTACTTCCAATAACTTTTGCTTTTGAATATTGTCTGTTTTTTATACAAATATTTTCTAAATCCCTTCTTCCCCAATATAAATGAATACCAGAAAATGCATCTTCCAAGTGAGGAAATTCTTTCTGCTAACAAAATAAATGTATTATCTATTTTAACAATTATATTTTTAAAATATTAGTCACAAGTTGAAAGGAAGTTGGGGTCAAAAATTATACCTTCCAGTTTTTATTTTATGAACCCTTATAGATATACAGTCTATTATCTTTTTTCCCCACACTCTTTAAAATTATCATTTTTTCCCTAAACTTGAAATTCTAACTTTATAGTCAGTCTGTTTATACTGGAATAAGTCATTTAAAAAAATCACTTATAAACACTGAACTTGCTTTTTGAATTCAGGATGTTCACAGAGATGTTTGATTTTCAGAAGACCTAATGATTGAGCTCTTCTTTTTGATGCCTGTTTTTGTGCTAGGTGGCTCACCCCTTGATTCGCCACCAGCTTGTCAATTATATCTACAATGGATTCTTGGTCCCGGTCTTGGCTCCTGCTCTTCATAAGGTCAGTGACTGGCTCACGTCATCTTTTGTCTGTTTATAGCACCACTGATGGAAACTGAGGAAGATAAGCACAGGTAACTGGCTGGATGGTGGCTTTGTCTTTATTTTTCTTCTCTTTCCACCCATGCTTCTTAACAGTATCAAACACATCTTACCAGTAGCCACGGTTTAAGTCAGGTGGCTCCCCTTTTGTGTCACAGAATGCTGTCCAGTGGATGTTGAATAAGGCAGTCACTCTGAAGGAGCATGGCAGTGGCTGCTGACTCTTGGGCCTTCCTCACTTGTTGGAACTCTGTTCAGCTCTGAGGCCAAGTCTGTCCCCAAGAATACAGGGTCGGCTGTGGGCATGGAGGGGCAGTGGGAGCACAAGTACCATGGCTTTTCTGTCTCCCTAATGGAACATGATTTTCTATTATAACAGTTTTGTGACAGCAAGAATTAAAATGAAGCCAAGTTAAAGCCCCATCAAAGGTTGCCTGTCTCATTAGCACCACTCTGAATTCCTTATGGCTCTCATTTTGTGTAATAAATCAGCCAATATCTTTTACATTGTGAGCTGTTACAAGATACCCATGAACCTAGAATTCTAATTTTAGGGAGTTTTTTCTTCACTGAGTGAAGAGGCTTGTATAGTGTTTAGTTCAGAGAATTTTTGTAACATTTTTGGAATTGTCATTTCTGGTAGCGAGAGAAGCAAGGAGCAACTAATACGTTGTTTTGATGAAATGCCCATCTTTCTATCGCAGTTCCATTTTTATGGGCTTCTATTTTATAGAATCCAAGAATACTTGATTATAGCCCCCAGAAGCCTGGTTGCACCTGCTGATGGGGTATCTGGTTTAGAGCAGCAGGTCTTGATGAGAGAGGTTTCTCTGTTACCACTCTGCACTGGCTGTGTTTTCCAAAACAAACAGTATGCTTGGACTGACTAGACTTCCAGCTTCTGGAGGTAGTCTTGGATGTGGTTTAAACATCAAAATACCGAGATTTCCAGGTTACTTTAGTGAGTACAAAGAAACAAAACCCATGAAATAGGGCTTGCATTTGTTTCTAGGCCATCTTTCTGTTAGTGTTTTGCTGTTTGGGGAATAAGGTGAGTGCCTTGCTCAGAAAATCTCTCAGCTCTGTGAGGAGGAGCTTTCCTCTCCAGCAGAATACAGCAGTGCTCTTGAAATTCTATGGCAGTAATTATCCATGCCCTCCAGTGATGGCAAACCTTTTATTTTATTTTATTTTGGCACCGGGGATCAAACTGGGGTCCTTGCGCTTGTGCAGCAGGTGGCGAAACCACTGAGCTAAATCCCCGGCCCGATGGCAAACCTCTTAGAGACCCAGTGTCCAGAAGCTGCAACCCAAAGCCCACTTGCTTATCACAAAGTACCAATACTGTAATTAAACCTGAATACTCAGGTTTTAGTTTGGAAAAAAGCAATTCATTCATACCGTGAAAGAAAAACACAACAACAGAGCTTTCAGTGATACAAACAGTCCACTGCAGCACCTGTGCCATAGTTTCGCCACCACTGATATACTCCCTCATTTTTTCTTACCCTTTTCCTCACTGACCTAGTGACATAAAATAATTGTTACAATTATTATAATTAGCATACTTTAATGTTACAAATATTAATGACAACTCTGTTACATATTAATGGAGTACCATGTGATGTTTTGATACATGTATACATTGTGCAATGTTTAAATCAGGTTCAACATATTTATGTTCTCAACCATTTATCATTTCTTTATGGTGAAAACTTTCAAAACCCTCTCTTCTAGCTTTTTGAAATGTAGGTACATCATTGTTATCTGTATGCAGTAGCACACCAGAACATCTTGCTCCTCTCTAATTATAGCTGAATGTAATGAGAACTTTCGGCCTGTAACTGGGGATTGGATCCATTGCAAGAGCTGTTCTGAGGATTTGGCTGATCACACTGTACATCTACTTCATAGCGCTTACCTCAAGTAGAATCCAGTGGTTAGATATGCTTGCTTACCGTCTGTCCGCAGTGGAAGGGGTACTTCTGGGGGCAGGGTAGTCCTGTGTTTGTCCTGTGTTTGGTGCACTAGGGTTTCTCCAACATGGAGCACAGTGCAGAAGACTTAGGAGTTGAGAAAACAGAATACAAATTCTGTGGTTGTTAAAGTGGCAACAGAGTACTGGCACTTGGCACCTCTCTGACAGTGGTTTGTAAGAGAATAATAGCTAACAATTTAGATGGAGAAATACATGATTTTATTTTCAGTTATGCCCAAAGTAAAATAAGTGATTTATAAAACCATGAAGTTGGACGCTGTACCAGGCTCGCGAGTCGCACGGAACATGCCAAATCAGCCCGCTGCAGACAGGCAGGTGTGCGGATGCTGTACCAGGGTCACGAGTTGCCTGGAACACGCCGAGTCAGCCC